CACACACACACACACACACACACACACACACACACACACACACACACTGACTATATGATGTTTGCTAGCTTTTATCCCACTGTTCTTGTCATCCTCTTGTTGTTATGTCTATGTATTGTCTAATATTGTCTCTTGTCTTTCAATAAAAAAATATAAAAAAAAAAAAAAAGAAAAAAGCTCTGTGAACACTAAAATAACTTTGATTAGCGGTGAATCAAACAATTTACCGCTGAATCGAAAATTTGATTCTTGCTGAGTACATGGATAAATAAATATGAAACTGCATTCTTCACGTCTCTTTTTAAAGGCAAAAACAAAAAAGGGATTTGCAAAAACAAAATCGGCTCATTATTTGACTTTGGTTCTCTCGTTTTTTCGTTTTCGGATTCAGTCAAAAAAAACCCGGAAAAAACATGGTATTTCTGTTTTTTCGATTAAATGGTAAAACAGACCATCAGAACACAGACCGTTTAACCTCCCGCTTTGCATAACTAGTCTTTGGCTTTGGCATCAATTACGAACACGTGTGTTGCACCCCGTCTCCCAATTAATTATTCAGGGCCCAACACCGACACCGGGATCGGCTTTCTCTGGTCATGAACTTCAGCTTCAGACATGTTAGACGTGCAGTGCCGGGTTTAATCAGTGTGTCCAGTTAGATTCATCTCTCTCGTGCTTCCAATGATCAGGAGCCGGAGCTAGTGGAGAGGCTGTTGCTATAGTAACAGCGGTACGCAGGGCAGGCGAGGATATTTCGTCAAGTGTCACGTAGATTGTTACCGGAAACCGAGGATGTCTGTTCAAAATAAAAGTGCTTGATCGTTACACCACTACATGTAAGTGAATTAATTCATAAGCTAATACGTATTTGAATTAAATGATTAGCCCAGCTGTTACGGAGAACAACATAGCTCTATCTGTAGATGAAAATCAAATCCCAAAAGTTATATCGTGAATTTTTTTTTAGGTGAAATGGGAATTGCTTTTAACTGGAAATCTGCTGGAAAGCAAAGTGACAATCAATGTGAAATATTGAGGCCATTATTAAGAGATGGATTTAATGTGTGACTGATATTTGAGTTGTAGCTTAGCCTAAATGTGACAGCTCAAGAAAGGCACGTTTTCTTTTTTTAATGAAGCTATAGTAGTAATCTACATATATATATATGTGACTCATGCCATTTAAATGTTGTTAAAATCATGTATAGGTGCACATATCATATATACAGTACATTATAGTCGCCAATGGGGTGCCCCGTCGCTATTACTCTTACTTTGAAATTCACTAACGGAAGAACAGTATGTACAGTGTTTATCTTAACGCTGGCAGCGAGGCAGGAGCGGGAGAGAGTCGTGGTGGTGGGAGCAGGAGAGCAGGTAAAGGTGCATGTGTCTGTCCGTTTATGAACGAGGAGGAGACGGGAAGGGGTGACGGCGCGAAGAAGAGACGGAGAGGGGACGAGGAAAAGGAGGACAAAGGAGCCGACGGAGAGGAGGACAGAGCCGGGACGAAGGAAGGAAAAAGAAGGAGAAGGGGATGTCGGAGAGGATCGCTTCGTGCGGGAGCCTGTATGACAGCACCAACCTGCTGCTACAGTACTGCAACAACGGTGAGAGAGCCCTCCGCTTCTCGTTCCACCGCAGCACACGCAACAAAAACACAAGAGAGATGATGAATTAATTGTGAATGTGTTTCCAAATGTGCACGAATCGAACCAGACATGTATTGACAACGAGGTTCATTCGGCGGAGAGGCTGAAAGAACCATATGTTCCACCTGCCCATCAGTCACTGCTCAAATTACCCCGATGGGATGTATATGAATGTCATTCATTTTCTTCATCTTAAATATTCTTGCAATACTAGCTTGATGTAAAACAAAAAAAAATTGTCTATACATTTTTTAAATATTTAATGGTTTATTTTCACCACTTTTCTCTCTGATTATAGTATTTTTGGTGATAATTGAGGGGTTAGAGAGTGAACTATTTACCTTTTTGATTAACTATCTCATCAGGTCCCATTGAGTCTGTGTCATTTGCCTCAGACATGATTGAAGCCACAGCTTCCCAACACTGTCTGTATTCACTAACAAGCTGGGAGGATGGCGGTTGTCATCGTGCATGGGATCCTTGTTATGATCACAATGTTGCAGGATGTGGTCCATTTCCTGGTTCTGAAACACATGATGCTCTCTGATGGCCTTGTCTCATATATGCTGCTCTTCTCCCTGCTGCAGCCTTGAGTCTCTGTATCTATATCGCATCCTGCTTTACAGATGATATGCAAATGCTGTGCTGCTGCCAGGACAGATCACATCTGTGATGGAGACAATGGCTGATTATTAAGTCTCTGTCGGTCTCTCCAGCTGTTTCAAACACAGTAGAATGCCATTTTTATCACTTCTTGGAGACGTAAATGAATGCATGCAAAGTGTCGCTGTGATCCCCAGAGAAACCAGACAGCCATATTGAGCGACAGGTGCGGAGACAGTAAGGGGGGTCACGGGAGTCTGATTGCTGTCCAAGATGTAACGCGTGCCGTTCAGACTGCTCGGACAGTGTTGTGGTCCGAAGCCTCCCGCAGCTCCCAGGTGTCAAGATTTAAGTGCAGACTGTGAGACAAACACATGAGTCCTGTGCACCGAGCTTCAGATCTTCGAGCAGGCGAGAGAGTGAGGGTAAATAGAAATATAAAGCCAGCTGCAGGTTACCAGGAGGGCTTGTCGAGTGACAGCTGGTCCTGCAGTGAGGGGTCAGCCCTCCTTTATTTCTGCAAGGGCCGAGTGGTTTAAGTGTTAACGTATTGGACTGAGGTGAAGTGGTCAGAGAATCAGTGTCTAAGGGAAGGTCCTCGCAAGCATAGGAAGAGAGGCCTGTCTGGTGTTGGCTGACATTTACACAAAATAGTTTTTGATGCGTTCTCCAACTCAGAGGTCAGAGGTCAATCTCTCTGGAGCGTCTTATCAAGGCCACTTCAGCCTCAACTCTCCCTATCCTGTGACTGTGTGCTGTCAAAGGCTCGAGAGTCTGCAGGGCCACCATCCAACCAGCGCTTTTGAGGCTCCATTTCATGCCGTAATGAACCGATGTATCGCGGCAACGCTGCAACCGTGCAGACATTTTGGGGTTGAGCCTTAAAGGACAACACCGTGACGTCAGGAGGCAGACGGCGGTGAGGGGTTTCACTCCGCTGGGCCGCAGCAGGTGAGATGCAGGCTGGAGAACGATGATAACAGTCTGTGTGTGCTGTTTGGTGTCAGCGGCGTCTGCCGAGCGAGCTTCAATCGACTTCCTTCTTCTGTTTCTATTGTTGCGTTTATCCGTCCGTCTCTCCTCCGCCGCCATCTGTCCTCTCACTGTAACCAGAGATCCTCCACATCAGTGGTCATCAGACCTGCCACCTGGTTCACACGTCTTGAGCAAATACACTTTGTGTTCTCCCCTTTATAGTTTTGTTTTAGTTGTATTGAACTCAGGTGCATGTTCTGTTATCTAAATGAGCCTGCTGAGGTTTGAACTCCACAAGAAGCATAAAACCTTTATCAACACACTTTAGATTTTTTCATCAAGCAGACTGCATCAAAAGCGTGCACCATTGCCCATTTCATGTTTGAATCATCCCAAAATCAGCACAGAGACCTATGTGAAGATATTAAAAACAAGGTTCTCAATCTTTTTTGCCAAGGACCCCCAAGATGGAGAATAAATGTTTGTCTTCAGTGTCTGCAGGACGTTTGAGCTGCTGTCGGTGCTTGCTGGCTTTCTCTGTGCAGTTCTGTGTCTCACTCTCACATTTAATTAAGTCTCCAGCAGGGCGTGGAGAATACTTAGTGCTCACATCCCACACAATTGAATTTAGGCAAAGAGAGAGTGGAATCTTTTCCTTAAAAACAACCCCGGTATTTTATGATTCAGCCTTGTGGGAGGGGCTTAAACGTAATCTCTGTGTAAGCTCTAAAAATACACACATGAACAGAGTGCACGGTGACACCGTGAGCACATCTACAGTGTGTGGAGGGTACCACTGCAGGTGCATGTGTGCAGTGCAGCGTACAGTACGATCTCTCAGCTGTAGATGGAGACGAGAGGACTGGAGCGGTGTTGCAGCAACGGGAGCTGTCAGTCACAGCACGGTGTACTGCTGCACAGACATCACTTAGCTGATTGTGCTGTAGTGTTTAGCCTCAGGCTGGTGTGTCGGATGCAGAAGAGGAACAACCGGTTTTTAAAGAAGATGTTGATGGATTGAATTTGATCATTTGAGGAGCGTTATAGTACTGTACTCCATCTAATTAAAGACCTGTTTCCCTTTGGTTTAAGAAGGGTATTTTCAGTTCACGTTAAAGGGAAAGACTGGTGTTATGTTTCTCTTATTGTCAAAAATACCCAAACCAGTCTCGGTGCCCTGTCTGTGGGCCTGAATCGATCAGTTCCTACACACAATGTAAATCTTCAAAAATATGTCACTAATATAGTTTCTGTAAATTTATCATTTTTTTTGTTTTGGTATTATTTTTAATCCAAATCTGCGCTCTAGTAGTGTGTGTTTGGGGCAACAGGACGGTGTGTGTGATTGAGTTCAAATATACGACGGTTTTGGTAATGAAGGACCATTCCGAGTGTTTCGAATAACAATGGAGCTCTATGGCTCAGTGGAAGAAGGTTCATCAGGCTTTAGCTACACAGACGTGTTGGTTGGGATTTGTCGACAAAAATAATAATTTTCAAAAAATAGAATATTACCAGATCTATCAAATTTAGATTTTCTGTAGAGACCAAGTGCAACAATACTTTGTGATGCTCATTTGGTACATTTTAAAGTTTAGTTATACGCAAATGTAACGTAAGGGCACGTGGGCCTCATGTGCCGAGTCACCTTTATGCCTGTGTCATTGATCCTTGAGTCTGGCTCTGCAGAATCTCTTCCTGGTGGTGCCTGGCTGTACAGATGCTGGTGCAGTGTGTGTGTGTGGCCCTGTGCCAGGCTCCACCCCTTCTCTCTCTCTCTCTCTCTCTCTCTCTCTCTCTCTGTCTCTCTCTCTCTCTCTGTCTCTCTCTCTCTCTCTGTCTCTCTGTCTCTCTCTCTCTGTCTCTCTGTCTCTCTCTCTCTCTCTGTCTCTCTGTCTCTCTGTCTCAGTCTCTCAGAGAGAGAGAGAGAGAGAGAGACTCTGGGGAGAGAAGAGTGTAAAAGCTGACCGACAGTGCTGTGGACTGACCGTCTGGTTTGACTGACAGGAGGAGTGAGCAGACACTTAGTGTGGACACAATGACAGGTAGGACCAGACCGGTCTCCATCACTTCACTGCACCATGAATATTTCAGCAGCCCGCAATGTTCTCATTGCCCTGCACCGACCTCCCATTGTCCATCTCTCTCACACACACACACAACCTCTGCATTTCATCATCCATATCTTCTCCATCTTTCCTTTTACTCCCTTCCCTCCAACTCTTCCTCCTCTCCATCCATGCTTCTCTCTCTTTTCTTTTTTTTGTCCACCACTGTTTTACCTCTCTGATAGCAGCCATGTGTCTGCATCGGCCTCGTGTCAGCTGGGTGTTAAGTAACACTTGACTGTAATGTCTGTCTGTGCTGGGATGGAGAGGGAAGTTAGCTTGTAATGTGTGTGTGCGCTTCGCCTGCTGAATATCAAATAGATGTGACCTTTGGTTTATAAGGAGAGTAATGGAATACCGCTGAGGTGGATCCGTTGTTATGGTGTGTGTGATAATTCAAGGGCAAATGGAAAAGTAGGAGGCTCTGCAGTAGGTTTTTAACAGGTGTGCTGACTAGAGAGAGGAGATGAAGGTGAACCCATGATGTCTCCATCTTTTTCTCTCTTCTATCCCTCTTCGCTCTTTCTCTTCAGTATATACAGTATATATCATGCAACATGTCGGTCAGTTGAATGTAAAGAATGTCGGCAGCGCTGCAACTCAAACTAAACGTGCTAACATGTTAACATGCTAGCACATTAGCATGGGCCAGAAATCCTGTTTTACGTTGCGCCAGGCTGAAACACAACTCTCCCTCCACATAATACATCGAACAGTTAATAAACATATTAAACATAAAACCGAGAGGATGTTGAACGTTTCCTGCTCAATGCATTTGCATGCAAACGTGATAACATTCAGCTTTGCAGGATCCAAGAGTTGTTAATTTATGCTAACCTGCCAGCTGGAGGCATTTTGACATCGTGAGATTACGGCATAAGATTAGGATTTAACTCAAAGCACATGTGAGGTTTAATTCTCTGGTGCTCCCTTACTTAAAAGAAACATGACCCTGTTTGTGCCCCGCTGGTGGTAAAGACAGTAGTTATTGGTATTTTGTAGTGAAGCTTCTAAATGATTGGATTTTGTACGCGCTTAAATGATCAGGGCCGTCCTTTCTCCTCAAAGAATCCCTCATGTGCTCAGAAGTTTCTTGGAAATGATCTCACAATGTGAATTAGAAAGTACATCATTAGTAGAGGTAACTGCTTTACTATATACACGGTATGTACTCTCTTTAATATGTGTATAAACAGGCCTCAGTGTGTAGCAGAGAGGAGAACATTGAGCTATTTCAGACTCTAAAACGGTCTCTTCTGTGTTCTGTCCCTGTGTCCTCCTCATTCGGTGTCTCTGTTCAAATCGGCGGACCTTCAGGCAGTTTGGATAAACAAGAACATCGTCGCAATTCGGCTGAAGATGAATCATTTTCCTGTTTCTCTCACTGCGAGTCCTTTCTGTTCCTTTCTCCCTCCATCTCCTCCCACCAACAATCTGTCCTGGTCTACCTCAGACAGTTAGTTTTCTCCTCCGTCTGCTCACTCGTCCACTTTTTTCCGTTCACTTTTCGTTCACTCGTAAACCCCACCGCCTGCGTTTTGGCCTCGCCTGCATTCTATTATGAGTAAAGAGGCATTTCTTTCCTGTAAAAAAACAACAACTTCTCCCACAGGTGAGAGTTGGAATGGCTGTAGAAATACTGTGAGTTACTGCGATGGTTTCTCTGCCTCATCTCTGTGATTAGTAGATGGAGTAATGTTGGCGTGGCTAACGTACAGTAGCAGGACAGTAAAGACACCTTTCGGGAAGTGAGACTTTGCTTTATTTGTATTGTTTTACCCTACAACACATCTGTAGGCAGAATACTTTCAAGTGAATTAACTGTCCGTGATTCATGTACGACGTCTTGAGTTTTAATTTGCAAATGGGTCATTGACTCTGAAAGGGCTTTTAGGCCCTGGTGGAGGCTTTTAGAAGCTGGCATGTGTTTGAATGTCTGATTGGATTGAGTATTTACTGTAGTCTGAAGTTGTATTAATTGCATTCGCTGTATTACTGTTTGTTTGTACCTTCACAGGGGGCACACAGAAATGAGCCAGTAGCTAAATCTGCTACAAAGCATCTCTTCTCCTCGTATGAGATTAATGATGTTTTGGTCCATAAAAATAAATGAAAAAAACCCCAAAAAAACCCCAGAAATGATCAGCACTTTTTAAACAAAAGTCTTATGTCATTTTGATAAACCAGTCTCATTCTAATACATCAGATACACTTTTACCAAAGGGAAGCGATGACGTTATGCTGCTGGTCCATGCTAATCTCCCTTTAGCTTGATGTCCGTATGTAAATCTGAAGCTGGATTTCCCTTTCGGCCCGGTCTCATTTGAGTACAGGATGTGATACAGTTACAGTACAACAGTACTCTCTGTGCCCCCCCCCCCTCCTCCCAGGCTCGGTTTACAGTGCTGAACTGATGCATGCTGGGAGCGTCGCATTGGCTCGCGCTAAAGCAGTGTGATCCAGTACAGTGCTCTTTTATTGCACGTTCAAAGTTCATACTTTAAACTGGTTCTGAATGGTGCACACAACATGAGTGAGACCATTGCAATAAAAATCATGAAGTTAATGGAAGAGTCGGCTGAGTTTTATTTAGAAGTTATTTTAATTTGTTAGGTTGGTTTGTTTTAGCTTTTTGTCTCTTTCAGTGTAATATATATGTTTTATCTTTCGCAGCCTGAGACACAACCTATAGATGTTACGGTGATATTTGAATAACTTCTAGCTATGTTGGCTTGGTCGTACTGTGTATAGCTAATGGGACAATCGCTGAAGTCTTCAGTGAAACAGGTGTTTGAAGGCCGATGTTGAAATGTTCATCACTTTCTGAGACTGTAGTTATTTGATGAGATTCAGTATTTTTTTCAACCTCATCTTGTAGAGTAAAGTTTTGAGCTGTGGGGTTCAAGTGTACTTCTCTCTCAGTTGGTGTAATATTCAAAAGGTTTGTCCCTTGCTTGAGGATATAAATCTACATTCGTGATCTTGGTGGTTGTACGTCCTGACAGAGAGGGGACAGGGTTTAAAATTCGGGATGCATGAAGGGTCGAGACGTTCCAGCCAACCCAGAAACTTGTTGTTTTTTGATCAGGCTGTAATCTGTTAATGTGGCCCACAGATTAATAATCCGCTCTGGGCAGTTTGCCTTCAATAATGTAGCAGGGCCTCCGGTGATGTCATCATGGTGGGTGTGAAGAGGGTGGACGTTTAGGCTGGAAAGGGTTCAATTCAATACGAGAGGAATAAAGGCAGAGGACGGATGTGAGGGGGCTGGAATCAACAGCTGCTCCTTGACTTTTGTGTGTTTTATATATTTCACATATGGAAAGTTTTGCTCCAGAAATACATTTGAGAAATAAAATCTGCATATGAGAGTGCTGAGAATGCTTAGTGATTAAGACTGATTACTGTTTGCTTGCTAACGGGTGTGAGCAGCCATGCCAGGATCTCTGTGAGGCTGCACTTCGGCACAGTGTTGTTGTTGTTTTTAGCTAAATGCTAACATGTTGATGTGTAGCAGGTTTAATATATTACTATGTTCCCTCTCTTAGTTAAGCATGTTGGCATGCTAAAATTTGCTAATTAACACTAAACACAATGTACAACTCGTTTTTTAGCTACATGCTCACAACGACAATGCTAACATATTGACGTGTAGCAGGTTTTATGTTTACCGCGTTCCCTCTTGTAGTTAAGCATGTTAGCATGCTAACATTTGCTCATTAACACTAAACATGATGTACAGCTGAGGCTGGTGGGATTCGTTTTGCAGGCCCTGTGGATCTCTCTTATAAATATTAATGTTTACAATCAGTAGTTCTTACCAAAACACACTGCATGTATCCTGGAGGCCAAACGCATATTTTGAATGTATTCCCTTCCTCATTAAACATTTGCAAACACAAATATTTTTGAATAGTTCAAACCTGCATTATTTACACATTAACGTTACTGTCCTCAGCAGTTGGCTGCGATGGTGATGAGAACAAAATGGAAACCTGCTGGGCGAAACATCACTGGTAGTTAGAAACCCCACAGGGCTTCTTTTAAATCTTAATGCATGCAGATGTAATGCACAAGGACAAAGCTTTGTTTCTCTTCTCTCCCATGCTGTCCATACAAAGCAACCTCACCAGGTTGTGAGGTTCCTTCTGTCACTCACACTCACACGCGGAGTCTAAATTATTAAAACCAAGTTTCCTGTATGCTCTAATGCCACCTGAGAAACACTAAACCATTGATTCACACAGCAGCAGTAGCAGGTATCAACACTCAGCCAAAGCAGCTGCTTGTGTTTATGTTCCAATAAATGAGCCTAAATGTTCAAGTATCCAGGCAGCCGTTACTCAAGGCTCCAATACTTTAATCCTCTATTTGTCTTTCTTTCTTCCAGTCCCTCTGATGCACAGCATCATAGTGTCTTCACTCTCACATAAACGTGTGGTCAAGTTCATTTTTAGTTCTGCAAAGTGCTCATTGCCGTTTTCTTTCAGCGCTGCAAGTCCATCAAATCTAGCATTAGTCGGCCTGAACCATGTCTTTTTCCTTGTATTCTTCTATTGACAATAGCCCTGTTTACACATGACCAGTATAACCTGGGCTGTTCTAGTCATTTGTAATCATATCGGAGGTCGTTTGTGATTTTAATCCCGCGCGAATCTGCCGTGTCCGTAATTTATCAAGTAAAAAAAAATGTTACCTATCATATTTTGCCAAACACAAAGGTCACATGGTTATCGGATGGGTTTCATTTATTTTTATTTATTCTACATGCCTTTTTTCTGCCTATTTACCGGTCAAGACTTATGGTTGGCAATTATGAATATAAGTTCTGACACTCATCTGGATACATTTTATTTTATTTTTTAAAACAGTAAGTTGTAGTATAGTCTCCACACCGTGTTGGTTGAACAGAGCTAACATGCTCGTACCGATCCTTGTCTGACCTGCCCATCGTGTCCCGTCAGCTCGAATCTAAACCTAAGACCCTCTCTCTCCCTCTGGTCCAGATGACACGGTGTCGGCCGGCAGCAACATGGACATGGAGGACCGGGTTTCCCACCTGGAGCAGAAGCTGCAGCTGCAGGAGGACGAGATACAGCTGTTGAAGGCCGCCCTGGCTGACGCCTTGCGCCGCCTGGGCTGCTGCGAGGAGCAGAGCCGGGGGGGGCAGCCCGGAGGTGGCCACTCCGCCGGGAGGAGACCTCTGGCCACCACAGTGTCGGCAGCACCTACCAAGGGTAAGAAAGGTAACCGATGAACAGAGAGGCAACGTCCTGCAGGCCTTTCCCTGGCTAGTTCGGCTTCTCATCACTCATCATGCATCGTCAGTATTTCTGCACACATGTTCCTGCAACCATTCCGTAACACGTCCCACATTGTTGGCATCTATCGATCCCTCTTCTGCTGAAGCTGATAATAATGTTACCTTTCAGTGCGTCAGCTCCTGCAGGCTCTTCCCTCCAGGCCTCTGAGTAACGGCTACGTTCAGCAGAAACGCCTCCTCTCCTCCCCTTCCTCTCCTAAAAAGGAGGTGCTACAGTCCAAGAGGTATGCAAAGCACAAAAGAAAAAAAGTCACGCTCCCATAAATGACCAGCGAGTCTTTTTTGCTGTGTCGTCCCAAGATTATTCAACCTTCTATGTTCTATTTTTCCTTTTCCTCTCCCTCAGGAAGAGCATGTCCACAGAGCGTCTCACCCTGGTGAGGAGAGAGTTGGGAGCGGAGAGTCTCAGTCGAACCACCTCCTCCAGCAGCTCCTCCGGAGGCAAAAGGTAGCGGTCTCGTCCAGCGTGTCGCCGTTTCTTGCGGATATTAAGCGCTGTGTTTCTAGACCCATGAACACCTTCTACCCTAACTACTCCTTTTGCCTCTAACAAGCCCAGAGAAGATGTTTGTGTATCGTGGGTCAGCAGGGCTGTGGAGGAGTTCAATGGGTCATATTAGGTTGTTTTAATGAGCTGTCATACCTCTCCACTCTGTCTGTAGACACACTGTGTGACAGTCAAGAGGCTGCAAGATGAAGAGTGAGTGTTTGGTTGCAGCAAGACTAACTTAAGTTATTTCTATATTAGATATGGAGATATTTAGATCTGCAGATTTTAGAATACATCTTCCGCACTCATATTTTGGGATGCCGTTTTGTAAAAGTAACTATTTTGCAATGCAAGCGAAGAGAACAAGGAAGTTGTAGAAATCAAAAATGAAATAATAACCTCCTTGCATCCGACTACGTCACTGTCATGTCAGATGTCGGCGCTGCAGGAAGAATGGCAAGAAGTTGCAGCTGCAAACTCAGCTTTATTGGTCAATAGTGCAGGAACTGAGGTATCGATTGGACATCCACATTAGCGGTGGTAAACTTTCCCTTTTAAAGGTAATGCTACTAAGAAAAGTAATTTACAATGGAAGTTCTCTCTGGTCAGACAGTAGTTTATTTGATCTGGAACCAGCACATAAAGTTCAGATGTTAATGAATTAACATTCAGGTCAAAGCAAGTCGATTTTTTTAATGTTTGAAAACCTGCTCTGTTACTTTCACTTAAGTAAACGCACATTATTTACTGTCTCTTGATTTAAATGATAGCTTCATCATGAAGGTACAGTTGGTGCGGTATCTTAAACCTTTCATGGATAAAATGAGCACACACATTAAGCCTACAGTAATACTGCAGCTGTTCAAAGCTCATATAACATCACTATATTCTTTCAACATTATTATTATTATTTATCATAGTATTCCATCATTGGTCTGAATTCTGTCGGTAAACTACACCAAAGACATAACATCTATGTTTGACAGGAGCACAGAGGGAGAAGAAGAAAGGATTTATCTTTTATATCTTTTCCCTTTCCTAAAGTCATTTCTCTCTCTGCTTTATTGGTGTTAAAGACAAACAATTCAAGGTGACTTGTCCACCTCAAAAAAAAAATGGATTTTTGCGCCTCCCTATACTTGACATTAAATCAAACAAAAGAGAAATGGTGCTGCATGGGACGAGAGGAACAACTGCCTCGTCTCCCCAATCTGACCAGCATCTGAATCTGATCTAATCTTCCTGTTTGCCTGCAGTGAGTCTGGGATGTCATGATGAATTAAGTTGTACAGTTAACAGTCTGTTGGTCTTTGTGATGAACAGCGTCACATTTCCACGTGTCACAGCCAAGTGAACACGCACGCAGGTCACGTGTCATCTGTAAGCAAACCCCGGAGAGAGTTAATCTTTTGGTTATACACTCTTTTTCCTTTTGTTCGTGTCTTTCATCGCTTCTTTTCTTCATTTGTCGTCCTCTGTACTACTCTTTCTTCCCGCTCATAAACAGTTGAACCTCCCTTTACTTTTCTTATCTCTGCTGTTCTTTCTCTAATCTCTCTCTCTCTCTCTCTCTCTCTCTCTCTCTCTCTCTCTCTCTCTCT